AACAACAACGGAAAGCAACTGAAGGCGTTTTTACATCATTCGAGATTGACAATTCCCTCGAGACTATAAATTTTCGTTGCGTGGATATCGATGTCGACCTCAAATAGGATCAAGACAGATAAGGTCAGCCCCACCATTCGGCAACTACATCCGCTTGAACAAACGTAGCCGATACAACGCTTGCCTCCAGAGCCACCAGTTCTACAATTCTCTAAAAGTGCGCCAGCTACCTTTTAGTACCTAGCTAATTGATCATCGATCATAGCATTCGACCATCGTTCTTCACCCGCCGCGAACTTAAAATTTATCTGCTTATCGTGCCACTCTATCTTCGTGTTGCTAACGGTTATACGATATACTCGTAGTTAAGTTTCGTCCGACCATTGGTTCGTTTGTGCTTGTTGATAATCGCGGCAGAGTCAACAGCAGCTCATTAGTGCCAGATATGTCGATAGGGTATTAATACAGGAGCATCGAAAGGCTCGACCTGGCGGGACCCACTTAACTACCGCGACTCGGCATCAACGAATAGAAGAAACATGTTACAGCCATGGCTGCTATTATGCGACCACAGTAATAACAATACTAATAATATTCATCATCATTGTCGTCGCCGTAAACAGCATTTGCCGTCCCAAGCTGCCATAAGGTACCAATAATCAGTAGTAGTAATTGTAGGCGTTGTCATCGGTGTCACCTTGTGGTCGAGCTGCCGTTCAAAGCACTCCCTTTAAAAGAGGTTGGCAAGGAAGAGGACCAGCGCCGCAATCCCCTTCCCCTTTCGCTTCCCCCGTCCTATCAATAACAACAGCACTACACTATACAAGTAGAAACGATACAGATAACTGTTACCACTGCAACTATCTGTTGTATAACAAGCAGTAGGTAGCGGCGCTACGAAGCGCTTCTTTTCTAAATCGTTCAGGTGGGTTTCATTTTGTTTTTTTTTTTTTTTATTGATTCTGCTGGAACCCTTTCAAGAAAAGTGTCGCTGCATAGGAGGCTACTAGCTACCTCGACTTGTTTCTCACGGTTTGCTCTTAGCGTCAGCATCATGACCGCCATATCAACAGCAGGATGCTGTTAGTCCCGATTCGTCAGCCAGTTGTCTCTGCAGCGACGAACGGAGTACATAGAACTTTAGGCTCTCGCGAGGCGGGGCACGATCATCGGGGTTCGGACAAGCAACGACGAGCCACAGCCGCCTTCGGTAGATTGTTTTCTGTATAAGTACTTTTCGTATCGTTAGAAAATCAAAAAGAGAATCGAAAAGAGTTGACGAAACTCGAGTGGAATACGCCCCCGGGTTGCGCACACGGCTGCAGAGACGCAGTAGACGTCTCTCACATTAAATTACCGATCCACTCCATCCTATTATGTGGTTTACTCGTTCACTGACTGTCGAATCGACCAGTCAGTGCCATCCCTGAAAAGACGCCTGAAGAACTGCAGAAAATCGATTTCGCCCCCATCAACTCCGCCGCTGTGACATCACTTCAAGACGACAGTTCAGTTAATAACACCCCAGTATTGTTACGGTCAATGACTGAGGCGTCGATGCGCGGTCGGCTTAGGCTGTTTCAGTATATAGTTATTAACATTCTATGTTGACTCCAAATCGCTTAGCAGCCAGCGTAGAAGCGCAGCTCCTGGATGATGGTCAATTCTTGACATCATTTTCTGATCAGGCCGAGGTTAAAGCTCGGCTCTGAACCGACATGGCCAATAACAGCTGCATCTTCGACGGATAACCTTCTTCAGCATCCGCTCCTATTTTTTGTTCGTATTCTTTACCGCCCTCTTGGCGGGTGGCAAGCACAAAACGAGGCGGTATCCAGACACTAGTAGTCAGTAACGTTAACGTGCTCAACCGTAACGAAATCAAATGCACGAAGAAGAAGGGTCTTTTGGGAACGAGTTGCTGGGCCACAAACGGGATAGCTCTCGTCGTTAGCGTCTATCCATCCGGTTACGTCCAACGCGGAGCGTCCCGTACAAATATAGATATATATGAAACCAACTTCCCTCGTCCAATCGGTTTTTCGGCCGCAAAACAGTTGGTCCGAACTGCCGGTGCGACTAATCCAACCCTCTGATAGAACGAGGGATTTACACTGCCAAGCGGAGCCAAAGGTAAACTTGATGTGGTTGGTAGGCACCAATACTGCTCATGCCTACGCAGTTCGATGCGTAGGCCAGTTAGCCTGACTGCGGGAGCTGATGATACTTCTGTTCAGTCCAGCATGGAGATGTAGAAGAAAAACCGCCATTTTACTTTACTTAGTAACTTACTGTGCCTACATACATAACAAATGCTACCGAAAACGATGGTGATAGTGGCACCGGAAACGGCCGCAAAATTCATTCGTACAGTCAGCTGCCAGTAAACCGTAGTATTATCACAATAAAGAGAACTTTTGCTCTTTCTATGGTGCGTGCTTCATAGCCCATTTTGTTATGGCTGAACACGCAGCTGTACAAGTACTATCGAAGGACTTTAGCGGCTTACGAACGTTTCCAGCCACGATAGGAGACCCGACGAGTTTGATGAAAAACTGTTTATTGAACTCAGGAGGCTTAGCAGCAGAGTGCTACTATGAGATACCATAGAATAAGTTCAAAACTCGAAAGAAAAAAAAAACCATCAAACCGGATATTATAGCCGATGTGGTAATCAAAACAACTGGCTAGGTCGAGCGTAGACCCGTAGTGCGAACCCGCCAAGTAGAATAACGTAATGCAGCTATACGGAAACGGGCTTTATAGGTTCATAGGTTTCTAATCAATTGACAACCGTATTCGACCGACGAGGGCGAGAAATACATCATCGAACTTTATCACAGCCACTCGGGTTATCGTTGCGCTTATGATATTATACCTGCGCGCGTTCGCCAGCGCCTGTCAGATACATTGGTAAAACCTGCCGATATATGGGTTTCGAATTAAGAGCACGTTAATAGATGACAAACGCATTCGAGATGAGGCGACAAAAATTAGAAGGAAACGAGCAACAAACCCACGATTTGTTTGAACTAGTACCGCGTGCTGGTGGTCTGTGAGTGTATAGAATTGTTATTAGTAGTATTATCATTAGGCGATATCTTATAAGGATCGTGGATTCGATAATAGCGCGATAAACTAGAAAAAATTGAGGTTTTGCCTGCTGTCACCGATCTACTGCGAAGTGAGTGTTCAGGAAGTGATTTTGGATTATGAGAAGCTCCTGAGAAATTGCCTGCCTGAAAGGGATACGTCAACCGAACAGTTAATTCCCATAAAGTAGCAACTTTCCCACTCAATGAGAAGTTATGCCGAAAGCACGCTGGAACGAGAAAATCGCCGATAAAGCCCAAGTACTATGGGCGGCCATGAGGTTGGCCTATGGCAAGTACCCTGTGGCAAAACAAATTCTGGCTTCGAATACTCAAATGGAAGGTACATTTATATTCTATACAATGAATAATCGGAATAAACTTGAGTACTTTACGCCATTTTCACTTATATGTTGCCAGTTAGATCCTCTGTCTTATAGACACGCGCATGCTGTTGAAGCTCGCCTATGCATTGAACAAGAAACATAATGCGATGACGTCGTTCGAATAAAAGCGTCTCGCGTCAAAGCGTAATTTCCTATCAACTTCCTTGCCGTACCACGTAAACGTTTCAATTAACTACTGGCAGTTACCTGTGGTAAACCGAGTTCGTTTTTGTCACCAGTTGTCTCATCTTTGTATTTGCGCCAGCAAATTTGAGGGAATCCGTTAAATTTATTGTTAAAGCCCCAGGTAATATCTAATCTAATGGAAAACTAATACATTTACATATAGCATTTAATATATCGAAGTAAAACTAAATGAATGGTTTGTTTGCATAGGTTTCTTGCTACATTGAAGGAAGCTTCTACATGTTATAACGATTCTGCTCTTAATCGTTACGAGCAATTCCATCTCTAATAACTATGCATATTGGAGACGCCATTGTTACATTGTGTCGAAGCAAATAGACCTCAAAGAAACACTAGTACTTAACTGAGGTTGCACTCAAACGCAGTAAACCGCTTGCCGATTAATGGATACAAAACCGTCGCCTGTTATTTGTCTCTACCAGAGCAGCCGAAGCTTCTCTCCTAACACTAATAAAAAAACAAAAAAAGTCTTCGTGCAATGCCACTGTATCTTTTTATACCGGGTGCCACAAAACTGCTCCAGGGTCGAATTCTGTTCAACAAGGGAATATCTTGAGATATGAGTCTCAGCAAAGTAAGAACAATGAAAGGAAACACTTATAGACAATCACGAGATACTAGATTTGGGCCAAACCCGGATTATTGGAAATATGTGTGGCCAGCGTGATAGACTTAACGTTCCTAGCACCGTTAACGGTGACCAATAAATTTCGTAGCAATAATAGTAATATAATAAGTAAAACAATTATTTTACTCAAACGTTCAAGTTAACTATTTAGTTAACTATATTTAATTCAACTAAGTAAAAAATACAGTTCTGAACCCTCTTAGTTGGGTCAAAAATGAAGCCTTTTTTGGCTGAATGGATAATCAAAGAAGACGTCTTAAATCAGGCGAAGCTATGTTGTGAATTCGTCTCTAAGAATATCGAACGAAGCTAAGCTCTCCCGTGTTATTAAACACCTGACCGGTTACAAAATCTGATGATATACGAGTCAACAAAGACATCATCGCCATGACCACCTATATCTATATGACGGAAAGTACAATATAATACGAAGCTATATTACCTACAACTTAGACTGCGCGAAGTTTGTTCACTTAGCAAAATAACAGCGTTATAAACAACAATAAATAAACTGTCTCATATATTCGTTGGAAACCTGCCTGTGCGTAGATCCTGGCGAGATTCTACCTCCTAATGGCGGGCTAAAACATGTTTTTTCTTAGAACAGATTCCTTACGTATCGATTTGTCTCCGTTCGTTGCTTTGTTTACCTGGTATAAAGGGTATATTTGATTTCTGTTTTCCCAGGGAGTCCAGGAGATATCAACTGCGGCGGCGATGGACCTCAGACGGATGATGTGCGAAATTTGTGGAAATCTTATCGTGAGTATCGATGTGTACATATAGTTTCCAGTGAGCGTATAGCAATGAGAAGCAAAATAGCTACTAAAATGGTACGACGATGCACATGTTAATTTAACAATGTTTAGTGAAAGCTTCGTTATATAATATTTGTAATGTTATATATTATTTGATAATCAATAATCCACCTTTTATACCTCGTATGTCTACCGATGCTCATGCTTTTGCTTATTTGTTGTACATAAATTGCGACTTCGTCTAGAAAGGTTTGTTCTTGCTGTTAGAAGACTTCGTTTCTGTCACGTGTTCCACGTAACCAGCTAAGTTTCGTCAACGTTTTTCTAAATAAAATCGATTTTTTTATGTTGTACAAGGGCAGCCCAAGGTCGCTGTCAATCGACCGGATGACAGTGTAACGTAGATAAGACATCGTAGTAGAGAGTAGAGAATTACGGAGCATTTCATTGCTGAAGCCGTACTTAAACGTTGGAAAGGAGCGGACGCGGGGTGTGCACCATCACATATGTATCGACAGACGGTAGCTGAACAGTGTTAAACGGCATGTAAACAAACCGATTTTATGGGATTATTTGTTACTTCTGTCTACGAAGATCCAGTCGGTCGCTGTAGTTGCGAACAAGTTAGCTAGAGAAAAAGCTTAATGGCAACTCTATGATTGGCCTGATCTTTCTTTCTTTTGTATTGTCATAAATACAAATCATCATACCGGCAACACTACTATTGTTACTGTCGCTGATCGAAATCGGTCGCTTTGCATTTGTTTCTATATTCTTCTACATGAACGCGTGTCAAGCGGCTTCACGTAGCACCCTGCTGTTCGCATTGTATATGTAATAATTGTTGTTCCTCACACCGCCCTGTTTGTCAGTCCGCATCGTAAATTAGTAACATGATGGACGTGCATGTCAGTCCATCAGCCTGAAACCGATGCCTAAAACGTGAATGTATCAGTGGCTAAGAGGTAAATGCTGCGTCAATCTTGCCGACGATAGGATATCGGTAACCGTCTACAAATTGCCGTCACGAAGTTAATTGAAAATGATGAACGTCTATGATGAGCTAGCCGCTTCGATCGGGTTGGTCAGCAAAAATAACAGTACTTAATGTACCCACAGAAATCTGCCATTTATGTAAAGTGTGGTCAGTTAAACTGGCGAGCTAAGCCGCCATATTGGCATAGACAGTCTACATAAGAGCGGTATTTCGGTGAAGTTCAGATTCATCTCTTAATCAGTGCTTTTGTTCTAGACCAATGCACCTCGGAGGGTGTTAAAAAACAAATAAACATCTTCGTCAATTTGCAACGAAACTATACAGTGGAACGACAAGCAGATGTCGATAGGCTGATTCTATTATCAAGCTATATGGAATAAGGCACTCGGTGAGCCGATCATGAAGCGCAGTGTAGCATACATATACTCATAGCGTTTCGTGCGTACGTATATTCTATTAGATCATTTAGCACCTCACTATTCTCAGTTAGCAGTAGCCCCTATGCGGATGAAGCCACAGTGCCTATGAGCGTGTGCGTATCAGTCGATGGTTTTTGTTGGTCGTTGTCTTCGTAGTCTCCTTCTTTCGGTGGTTTTCGTTTTGGGTCGACACGAAAATTTCACCAGCCGCTTTCCGTTCAACACAAGGGTAAAAGTTAACTGTGAGAGAGTCCATTCAGCGCTGTTCATGTTGGTCTGTCTGCGTTTCGCCTACGCGTTCACTGTTAAAAAAAGAGAGGCTTTCCTTCTTCACCATATCGTTTTGGCGTCATTTGCTTTCGTTAGATGGAGAGTGTCACCTACAATTGAGTCGAGCGATATGAGCTTGCCAAGCAGACTCCTCGCCTGTGTAGCTGGAGACGCTGGCGGGAAAAATCGGTCGGTTTTAGCATCGGCCCAAAGGTGCGGTTAAGGGCAAAAGACAGAAATGCAATATGATTATTTCATTGAGTCTAGCCTCTTGAGTTGTCTCCCTGACGAGGACCACACCGGCTTTGCCCAATGACTTTGTTGTTTTAGAATGTCCTAAATGAGTGCTGGTTCTACGGGACTCGTAGTGCTATTTCGAAAAGGGTCCCGAAGGCATCGTCATAAAGAATGTTAGTGAAAAAGAACATCTACCCGCAGAGCGCCTGGTTTGTTCCTATCAGAAGGAAGGTTGCTCGTTAGTTTTTAAGGCGGTTAGTTGTTCAAAGCTCTTATAGGGACATCCTCTGACCTGAACAGCAGCTACCGACTGGCCCGAGCATATTCGCAGTTCCCGCTATAACTATTATGCGCCGACGCGAAGCTCACGTAAGCGACTAAACATGACGGGTTTCGAGATTCGCAACATTTAGAACGCTGTGCAACGTGATCACGCATGCTGTGCTTCATCGCTTCTCCCTAGTTCTCCCTATAACAGCCAAAATAGCGATCCGATTAAGCTAACCATGCACAAAAAAAAAAAAGAATTGGCTTATACTTAACGGTTTACTGACTTCAATTTTCATTATATCCTGGGCACTATCGACCGCTCAGTACTGCCCAGGCATCTAATCGAACCTATCGACAGTAGGAACGTGCATAGGAGCTAGGGCTGAGCTGGGTGTGTCAGCTGCGCAGCGCCACTCAGGCGGCAATAGCTGCGAATAATAAACTTGGGAAAAAGAAGGAAAAAATGTTCTGATGACTCACCACACGTTCAACGTAATGGTGACTCAAGGCTAGTGCCAATGACCCATGCTAATAATGAACTTTTCTTTGTGTACTAGTAATATATTAATTCAATGTAACTTCTAACCTGTAGCGCGCGGTGAATATCCCCAAAAAATGGTAGCTTAATATATTTGGCCTGTAGTCAAATAAAACATCTATTAGTTTTGACGCGTTGGAAAACATCGTCGTGGGATTCAAACAGGTTCCATGAAAAATTGGCGTCCGAAATTATTTATTAATAAAAATTTCCAACACGATCGTTAACGTAACGTTTAGGAAAGCTAACATTAAGATAGTTACACAAGCAGTAATAGGTATGAAAGAACCTAGCCTGTAGCCGATACTGATCCGTGCGTATATCTAATCTTGTAACCTATCGAAACACCCGAGTCAAACGTTTTTCTTCACTTGGAGAAGATGGGCTTATTGTTAAAGCGTTCGTTCTTCAGCGAAGCGTAGGAGATAGAAGTAAAGGACGAAAGGCTGTTATTTGATGTGTGCTAGAGTCAAGGAGATCGCTTTATAAAATATATATGTCGTTGATCTATAAACTACAATATAACTTCAATTTGGATTCATGGCTTTGTACGCATTCGTCTTCCTTCGCTGTCATTTTCAGTGTATCACATGCAACAAAAGGCACCTTCCCCAAAAAGGATCATCTGCAGCAAAGATCTTCCAACTCGTCCACAGCACTATGGAAAAGAGTTAGTATTTTTTTTTACTACATTTCATTTGTTCATGGCTCTGCTCAGTGGCTACCCAGATCCCTTAAGTGGCTCGCAGTTGATGTTGTTGAAAAGCAAACGTCGGACAGACTTAATTGCATCAAAGGAAAGCTTGTATCTGTTTTCAGCCGACACAGCGACACGGCCAAACGCCGTCTTGAAGCCTCTCGTTATTTAAGGACTAAGCGTTAGAAAGCTATTAATCGAGAGAAGGCACAAAAAACTGGAAATGTATAAAACTGTGCACCTGTATTTTATGTTTCTATGCAGATCTATTTTATGTGTCTGTTTGAATGCTATTTATATTGCAATGTGTAACACAGGCGGGGAAATTAAGCTTTTCAAGCAGCATGCTTATGAGAGAAAACACTTAACGCTAAAAAAGAACGAGAAAAGACTACTTTGGGGGGTGATTTCGTTGTCAAATGCCGTACATGCAAACAAACCCTTGTTTGCCTAGAAGCGTTTCCTGCCTACGTTTACATGTTGTTTAGGCTGGATCTAAATTTATCATTGAAGGTCAGAGTCAGATCTGCTCTGACAGTTGTATCGCCCTATATGACATATCACTGAAGAACGAAATCTTTTTTTGGGGCAAAGTCTAGGCAAAAACGACTGATGTGAATGCGAAAACATTGTGGTATATTGCAGACAAAGTGCTCGTTCGTGAAATTTCGTTTTATAAGCGTTTTTATGGTGTTAATAATGTTAGAAAATCTGTACAGGGTGTGTGTTCGTTCTTTATTAAGGCCTTCGTTTACAAGCGTTTTACGAAAATGGTTCCCCTTACGATTTAAACGCTCCTTGCATAACTAACGATAATGATATATCAGGTGGGAAAAATCGAGCTGAATTATTATTAACAGTACTTAATTGAGGGCGTCTGATCATAGGTTGGCGGTGGGTGCTCAGAAGCCCGGTACGCCAGTGCGGGTGAAACGAGCGTCGAGTGCCTGATAAACGACCCAGTAACACCGTGCCATATTCGGAATAATAAAAAATTATTTTTATTTCACGTATGAAAGTCATTTTTCAAGGAAGAAGTTACTCGATGGGCACCGAAAACCGAGATTGGAGGGATGACATAAAAAACAGAAGCAAATGCTATTTGGATTGTAGACATTGCGGGCGTAGTGAAATAACGGGTCGGTGAAGTATAATCTAAAGCATTTAGTGATAGAACCGCTGAACCTAGTAGAGATGTTTTAGTTTGGCTTTGGGTGAACGGCACCATGGAACGGTTGATACTTCAATGGGCTACAGGAAATGTATTTAGACGAGTGCGCTGTTTTTAACCGGTAACTCACACACATAAACGAAAAACAAAAGCATTTGTATTGGGTGGGAAATTATCTAACAGGGCTTACGCTATAAAGCTTACGTTACCACGGGCACAACACTTTTAGAATACGTTATACATAATTGTAAAAAATAAGTACCAAGAATGGCATTTAGTGATTGAAATGAAGTGGTACCCACTAATCATGAGATATAGACGTAATTCTTTAAAAACAAACATCTTCAGGCTACTGGTATACTCCATAGGGAGAGCTTGTTCCGCAGGGGCCGATTATCAAATTCTTTTAAAGTTAGTTGTATTCCACTCGGAACTAAAACAAATTCATATCGTATCTCTTCACGGTGTTATCTACCGGAAGCGAGGCCTGTCGACTTCGATACGAGCCTCAGCAATTTAGCTACGCGACTGCTGAACGCAGACTTGGCTTCTCATTTTCAACAGACATTCTTAATTCGAAAATGTACGTAAACATATGGGAATTAAGAGTTTGTCTGTGACTTGAAGCTGGCCTTACCTGCCCATCCTCTGTAAACAAGTCTTCCTTTGTCGCGAGTTCTGGACCTATTAATTAATAATATAATTAACTATCGTAAGTTTTCCGAATCACTTTGGATATTTTTTCGAAGATTGTGGAGGGGGCCCTGCTCGACACACACAAGGTTCTTCGAGTTTCTACATCTGGTACTGCTACTAGAAGTTGTTTGAGATGCCTTGCGGCCTCTTTCAGCACGAAACAAGATGAGTCTCCGCTTAGTTTCGAACCTAAACCACGTCACTAATAGGCGAACGAGTTACCACTGCCCCATCACGAGGATTTCTTCAACAGTCGTGTGGGAGCGATAAGGTCAGAAGTTAGTATAGCTAATAAGCATTGATGTTTTCATAAAGCTATCAGCATCATATGCTAGCCCGGAGATTTGAAGCAACGGTGTTGAGTCGGCATCCTCGATGTTTCTAGTTACCATGGCAACGCCCTAACAGGTGCGTACCTACCTGCCTGCTACGACTGTGAAGGGACACTTATCGAGTCCCTGTTGGCGACTATTAATTTAGACATTGTGCACAATGAGACTACAAAAAATCACTTAAATCGCAATAGTCGAGGATTAACCGTGTAAATTAGTGCGCTCATCATTTAAGACACAACCGCCACCGATTCATCAGACAGTCAGTGACAGATGACGCCGTATAATTTATCGATTTACATTTCTGCGCCATTTTGGGTTACTCAAGGAATATCTGGTTGTACGATTTTTTTTTGTTTTCAGACAGATCCATATTTACATTTCTGGATTAATAATTATGTAATGCGGTACTGTTGAGTGACGCAAGTGCTTGTGTACGTTAAAGATGTATATAATATATACATGGTTAACATATATGTATGCATATATATTTGTCCTCAAGGTATCTGCAAACTAACGTGCGAAGTAGATATATATCCACCTATTACTATAGGGAAAGCCATATACTGTGTGAGCATGTACATAATGGGGAGACGGGGGGCATTTTAAATAGCGTAATGCGGACTGGCCACGTATGTAGAGTAACATTATGAAAAGGTTTTTATTTTTATTTTTTTTAATTTTATTTATTGTAAAAAAATATTTGCTAACAAATACTAGAGTTTTTCTTAAACACCTTGTGCGAATACAAACGGAGCCATTCATTAAACTGTCGAAGATCGTTGCCGCGTAAAAGAAGCTCCGTTGCTATTTGAGATATCACGGGCATATTTGTATTAGGTTAAGGGGAAGTAGCTATGACGTTTGGATGTTGCCAACTAAAAAGCTATCTTCTAGAGCTGCTAGAAGGGCATTATAATACGAGATTGCCCCTGTGTTAGTCACTGATAGGCAGGGCAGTTCCCAAGCGATTGATTTCAGCCCTACCAATGACCTAGTTATGTGCGTCATAAGTTCTGCTCTCAAAAAACCTTTCCGCGTAGGTACATCGTGACAGCCATGGGTAGAATGCCCACTCAATCCTTTTTCTATCTTAAACTGAGATTTATCGCCTGAACAAGAGGGCGTTACCAGAAACAGCTCTAAAACAATTCCAAAATAGACATTATACTAGAACGAATCCTAGAATATTGGAAAACTAATATATTCGATGTGATATTTTTTTCCTGATGGGCAAGTTGAATAGCGATTGGCATTGTGAGCTGCCCAGCCCAACGGGCACGTAAAATCGTCAATGTTGCAATGGCGCTTCCACTGCCTCGATGTACTCGTGGGTCGATGTCGATGAATCACAGGCCAAAAAAGTGAGGTATCTCAGTTTTGTCCAGCCATGTAGTTTCGAACTAATTCCTAGTTTTCCTCTTATCACTTAGTACTATATATAGTTTGTTAGATATTAAAAGAAGAAACAATCGAAGCTTTATCAGGGGGTCAGTTCTGTGTCATTCCGCTACCATATAAGGCGATGCAAAAGCCTCTCGGTATGGGGGGTCTTTATTTTTTTACAAGTATATATACGTTTACTTAGTAGATTGTCTGAAGGAGACTGGTAAGGTGAACCCGAGCGGTTTTTCTGTTTGGGTTATCATGGTTTATTTGGCCTTACTTCTATTATCGTATAGCAGTATTTTTTTCCTCTTCAGCTGCAGTCTAGTACATGAAAATCTATCCTTATTATTACCCTATTAGAACAGTATCTATATCCAGTCTGTGCATAAGGATCCCGCAATACATTTTATTCAGTCATGTCCATATCTTTTTTAAGATCCTTTTTCTTAATCTAATAAAATATTCGTTCGAAAAAAAAAATATATATATTTTTTTTCTATTTTGTTCATGCTATATATATACATATATCTACATATATATAGTATGAACAAATAGAAAAATACGACCATTTGGGATACATCGACATTTTATAAATTGCCACATAATCTAGGTATTTTAGAGCTTCTAGATAGTGAAGCGGTACGTGCAGAAGCCAAAAAGGGTTAAGGCAGTAAAAATGACTCATTTAAAAAAAACATATGCATACATATATCTTTTGACCGACGGCGCGGCTTGATGCTGCGGTATGGTATTGTCGTTGTCCTGATTAGCGATGGCGCTTGGTGTCGCATATTAAACTGTAGCCGAGTGCCGTTCGATAGTGCCATTCCAGAGCGTGATCGGCCGCGCCTGGCAATCCAATGCTGAAATAAAGGTCAAAGCGAACGAATGGCAGTGGATGGCAATCGTACCACGAAATCCAATGACCTCGATGACGAAGATGAAGCGTCAGTGGGTCAACGTTACTAGATGTCTCCCACAACGCAAGAAGACGGGATGTCACAAAAAAGAATCAAAGTTTATAAGAACAAGAAATTGTTGTTCTTTTAAATAAGCAAAATCACTACGAAATTTTTTTCTATGTAGGATTTTTTTGGAGTGAGAAATGAAAAGCGACCTACCACTAGACTCGTGACATATTTTTTTTGCTACACTGAAAAACGTTTGGGCAAAAATAACAACCAAAAATAAATTACTTCTCAAATATTTTTTTTACTAAATCTTCGAATCGGGGTTTTCAATAGTATGAATTTTTATTCCATATTAGCTGAAAATCGGGTACAATTATCCCGATATATGAAAGCACGTAAGTGGAATTTATAGCAACTTAATACTTTCAATATTCTATAATTAGGATACTGCAATAATCTACTATGAATGTAATATCCCGAATAATTTTGTCCCGTGTTAAGTATATTTCTAAAATATTAGCATGCCTTGCAAAATTACCTGCCAGTAACTAAAGATTAATTTTATAGTAGCAATGCTGATAATTTCTTTATTATGTTGAACCGTTTTGCCTGAGCTATCCTCATTTGAAGAAGTAAATTACTTCATTAGCATAATTCCTGCGTTCTTCAGACATTACAAGAGTTGGTCGTCATTTCCTTCAAAATGTAAGAAATACCCATAGTGTATAAAGTTTATCTTTTAATTATTGCGTGCTTCTCAGGTATCACGGTGCAATGGAGCGAGATGAAGCTGAACGGTTAGTCCGCGCGGAAGGTGAGGGGGCTTACCTGGTCAGAGAAAGTTCGAGAGAACCCGGACAGTATTCGCTTGTCTTTCTGTGAGTTTATACCGAATAACTTAAATTCATCAGATAAAGAAACTCAATAATAATAATAATAATAATGAATTATTCAAAAAAATTCCACCAAAAAATTGTCGTATCAAACAAAATACAAACAGGAATTGTATGTGAGCAAAAGTTCTAGGCTCAAACGTTGTGACTTTCGTTGATCATATACACTGTGGATGGTCAGCCACTCAGTTTGTTAAGATAAGAACTAAGGCTAAGCTAAGAAGAACTTTTGAGATAAACTTCGCGACTCATGGTAGTTTTAGGAAGCTCATTTATCCCAACTTTGTTTCGATGTCAAAGATTCACGCTTACTGCTGTACAGAAACACGTAGTATCATATGCAAAAGAGATTGGAAACTCCCACATAGCTTTGCCTAACGCCGACAGCGATAACGGTTGGATCTGGTCTGATATAAACGTCGTCATCGCTTGATTTGCTTTGGCAAGTTACATAGTTATTACGTTACGTATTAGTCTTCGCCTACGAACCAATGAAATGATCGAACTGGCAAATGTTTTCGGTACCTGTACACGATACCTGGGTATTTGGAACCAACTTTCGATACCTTTTTCCCATCATTCTGAAACAAACGAATCGTACATTGAGAAATTTTACCACAGATTTGTCGTAGCCTGTAACTCAAGAGCTCACACAATAATTACAGTATGTACAATAAAGTGCTTGCATTTTCCACTGCAGGTTTGATGGTCAGCCAAAAAATTATCGGCTGTATTACACTGATAACCAGCATTACGTTGGAAGCAAACGATTCAATACCCTCCAAGGTGAGTATTTCATAGAAATCAAAGCTGTATTCGGTAAAATCGTAAACCAATCGATATTGATCACCTCGGAAATTGTTAATGAAATGTTCCTGTCCTCTGTCAAAAATTCAGCTATGAGAAAGAAGTCCTTTTGTACCTCTAAGAAATTGTAGACTTCTCAAAGCAAAAATCTTGTGTGAAAAAAACAAAAAATTGATTATAGAATAGTTGCTCGAGGTAATCAGTCTGACTCGCAGATGATGACGTCATTTGGTGTTAACTTCAGACGACATAGCTAAGCTGCTGTACCAATTCACACTGAGAAACAAAAAAAAAAATTCCTCATTTTCCAAGAGTCTTGTTGTTATGGGTGTTCAACAATTATGATACAGTACGATGCATGTATTTTGCCTTCCGGGTATAAAAAGTTCGAGTGAACACCTTGATAATAATTATCAACGTGTTAAGTGAAACAGCTAAAGGTATGAATCTGTAATACTTGTATCTGATGTGCTGCATGTTTCGCGCAAAATTACGTCATAAAAATAGAGTAGTACTATAGCAGTTGGTTCAGTCGAGAGGACAAAGGTGATTCAATGAAAATGTGGCCGCATTAAACTGCGAATTTGCGGTCCGTGCCTTCACTAGATTTGGTCGCCGATGGCCTGATCACTATGTACCTGAATACACATGCCGGGGAATATATTCGACAAATGTGCAATGAGGTATCGTACGAGGACTCTCCATACCTCACGCTCAACCAAAGCAAGAAGCATATGTACTACAAATCGACTCGACGCCGGATGAAGGACAAGAAGCCACCCGTTCCACCTGTCAGGTGATAATAAACACATTACTCGCACAATATTTACTAATCGCTCCTACTCATTTCAATAACGTAATTGTTTTCCTTGTCGAATTTTTAGTATGAATATCTCAATTTTTATTTTGAGATAAATAGAGGTTGGATTTTCTATTATCTTATAGTCAAGCACTTCAGTACTGATATATTTCTCCTAGTTCGTCAAGTTTTATAATATGTAAATGAATAAACTTTTTCACGTTTAATTCAGGCGCCACGACCCGCCTGCTCCTCCAGCTCGTCCTCCACGCGTCGAGGAAGATCAGCCGTCCGTCATCGATGGAGCGAATCATCAATACGACGAACCGGAATTCACTGTAAGTTCATTGCCAGTGTCTTCTTAATGGCCAGTATCTTCTTAATGAATAGACATTGAATATCGATACAAGTCGCTTACTTGTTACTTTCGATAATTTCCTTACTTGTTAATAAAAATTAACAAGTAACAAAGCAAAGCAAAGCAAAGCTGCCTTGTGTGCTTGGTGCGACTTTGCTTAATTGCATTGTGTTCAATGATCGCGTCGTGTCACCACTCTCTAGAATAAAACAATATACTATACGCACTTATTGACGTGTACAATCTCAGCATAGCCATCGGGTTACTGACCTTCGCGAAGATGTGCAACATGTTATCACAATGATTGTACATCAACAACCGAAACTATGTCGGTGTGGAACATGGCACGGTAGTGACATGAAATTCCTCCAACAAAAGAATTTTGACATCTTTCTGAGCTGAATAAGTAAATGAGTGAGTGAGTCCATAGGAGAGGACGTATCGAGTCGCAAATAATCTCCGCAGTAGCGCTATGTCGTCTGTCCAGCATTTGTTGTCTTTGTAGCAATTCTTCTCGTGGTCGGTTGCGGTGGTACTCCTACGGCCTCCTCGCTTTTGACAGACCCGAGACCTTTTGCGCGTTTCGCAGCTCTACGTTCAGGTCAGTGCCTATGTTTACCTTGCCTCCGTGCTGAAGGCAGACCATCATGGTGGTGGCAGTGGAAAAATTCCTATTACCATCGAGAGTGTTACTCGATTTAGAGTGAAGTGGGCTCAGAGAGCCGGCAGAACTCGGACAAAGCTCTTGTGTATCGGACGAGGTCTTGTAATGAATCGTCGGCAGTGGTCCCTTAACCATGAACTCGGTAGGTGACATTGTACTACAAAAAAACAAAAGGTTAGACAAAAAAGGTTGGAACGTTTTTCGTGACGAAATCGCAATTTTTATTAGGTGATTGTAAGCAATGAGCCTCAACTGCTTAGCGTCTTGTGACGTATTTGAAATTCCGATGCATTGCTATGAAAATAGTCGTTTCGATAGTTATAGATGGTCATCTGGATTCCATTAGATGTATTTCTTTTGATATCGATACTTAGTCTTAGTTAGTCTTGGTTATCTTCCCATGTCCAACTGCCCCATCCGTATTGCACTGCCGTAACCAAACGAGATGACCGTAATGATTATTTATCATACGCCATCGGCCTTGTTGCAGCAGCCTCTTCCAGATCCAACTGTTCGAACGGTGATACGTTACTACGTACGTATTCCGTCTCTAGGCAACACGTTAAGACGCCATACCGCTATTGTCACCATTCAGCTGCTCAGCGCAGGTGGCCAATGGCCAGCCATTTCTGCGAGACAGTAAGCATGAGTAATGGTTGAAGTAATCTGACTTGGACGGCACTGTGCCGCTACGGTGCATCGTCAGTTGGGATCGTCCGCCTTCACCATTGCCATTGTTGCTCGCTTTTGGCGATATCGCTTTTTTAGTCTAGTGATGATGCTGTCGCATTGTCTCCTTTCTGGGCAAGCCTACGTGTTGTTGTCAGCCGGCTCGGGACACCCTTTACAGTTCAGACTGGAGGGAGCGTACTCGTAAGCATCGTTGTTGCGTCTAGAATGGCTGGCGTGCTGCCCGCGAAAACTGAGAATCAGGCAACAGCAACTGTTAGACCCTTAGCGTCGTGCGTACGTTGATATGGTCCAGCCATACGTTATTATTGTCCAATCTATCTGTTCTGGTTGTGGATATGTCTCATTGTGTTTATTACTTCATTCCGGCGGGCTCTTGCCAACGGCGTTATTTGCATCGTTACCATCCACTATCAGCCTTATCAATACTGCTCTTTAGCTATTAATTCACAAAGGAACTGAACACTAAAAAGATGATTGTCTATTGTCCTTGTGATCCTAAATGTTCCGGACGCTAGAAGTGTATGTTATTGTCAATATATGGATATCACATATTATAAATATAATATGGATGTCAAGCTTCTAACGTGTACATTTATTAAAGATCTAATGTCGACTTCGTAGGTTGTTCCGAAAAGGAAAAAACATAGTAAACCTGCTGACTTTTTGCGAGGAGTGATCATGTTCGGACAGATTATGTGTTCGTATCTGCGATTGAGGGACGGATGACGCTGGCATCTTGTGGCTCAGTGACTCAGGAAGTTGGAATAGCCTCAAGTTCAGTTGCTCCAATGAAGTATTTGACTTCAAGGACGGCGCGAAAAGCGAGCGCTTATAATCTACATTGAAAGATCGCTTCATGTTTATATAATAAATTCACGCATATATGGACATTTCGTTCACATTCAAGTGAACATGACACATATTCATCGAGATACTAATGTACAAATCTACCGCTGTTCTGAGAAATCGTGTGAGTCAATAATCCTCGTTGTATACTTGGCCGTTAGTCTTCATCACTGTTAAATTTCACAGCGACTCAGCAAGGCATTGTGATTTTTACAGGCTAATTTTCTCACGTGAGCCGTGTGCATTATTGGTACAGAGCGTCTTATTGACTATGTTCTAATCACGAATCTAAGACGGATCAATCTTTCATGACATGGGCAAATTGCAACGTTTTCAAGTAAAAACGAATACCCGAGGATTCTGTGGAAGCATTCGCCCTTCTTCAATCTCGCCAATATTGACTCATCTGTGAACATATCACTACTTGTTTAGAGCTTTGTCATGCATGTACACCGCGAAAATAACGAAGAACGGCTCCCGTTTTGTTATTGTGTGCACAGGTGTATCCTGTTTAATCTGATTAGCTCAGCGCATCTGATAGCGTTACGTCATTCTTATTGCGTTCGAAGCGTGAATGTTCGCTGAATGATAACAGGTCATTGATACTTCTTTATTACGGAAATTACATTGGTTAGCAATGTCTTTATTACTCGAAATAAACTGCTAGAACAAACGTTGCCTGTAAGGGTACATAAGGCAATTGGTTCTTGCTGCATTCGAGATTTTGAGCTGCACTTCATCAAACGTACCATAAAGTTCAAACTCAAGAGTTTCGACTTCACCCGCCTCTAGCTTTATTATTCAGTGTAAACGATTTTTCAAGATATACGGACTTTGAAGTAAAAAAAAACATACCAGAACTGAGAGCTATATGTCCTCTTCAGCACACGCTTTAACCAATACGTTTGTATATCAAGCATGATTGTTTATATTGATTGGATGTTTCAACATTAAAATTGACAACAATATATGAGGCTAATGTACGAAATGTACGAACTTACCTTTTGGCACATGAAAAAGGCAAATACGGAAACAATTTCCTGTCGTATTTTTATCCCTTTATTCTGACCAATAATGAACCACTCGTTGTAAAGTAAATTTACATTATTTGCATGGTTATTCCCCACGTTGTAATCGAATAATTACCATGCGAATGTGCCATGCGCTTATGGAATTGTATGGATCTTAAAAACTGTACCATTACAGCAACCACCTGTATCCACTCGTAGCGGCGTGGGAGGCGGTGCCTGCTCAATGCCTCCGCTAAGTGAAGCCTGCCTAGAAGAGCTCCCTGAACCTCCTTCTGACCTTATGGATTCTCCCCCACCCGATGATCTACCAAAACTTCGACATCCACCGAGCAGTCACAGCAGCAATGGGGCACATATGGGGCTAGAAAGCTGCGTTACAGTGAACAATGGCGAAAGTATTGCACAACATCGACGATCGGAACCCCAGCAACCGATTAATCGGCGATCTTATGTCGAGGATCCATTGCAACAACAGCATTACCAACAGCCCGTAACAAATCTACGAAGGCTAGCGGATGCTCCACTTCCAACAAGCAGCCATGAATCTCAGCCATTTGCTGAAATTATCAAGGATCAGTTTCAGTCTCAACATACCAGTCGACGGAATGTGGCCGCTATTGCTGACGTCGATGGCGGCATTGCGCAAGAAAGGCCGCTAAGAAAAGGTTATCACCATTATAACCAGGGAGGAGCTGCCGTCCCATCGGCGAAAGGCGTCGACCAGATCCGACATTCGCATCATCAACACGGTCTTGGACACGGCCGAGACCGGGGTCACAACCGAGATCGAGATCCTCACTCCCATCAAGAGCCTCGTCATCATCGGCATTCGCAGCAGCAACAGAAAGACCACCATCAGATCCTTGTGCACAATCATCATCGAGAGTCCAATCACCAGCAACAGCAGGTGACGCAACCGCAGCATCAGTTGCAGCAGCTGCAACAGCATCAAAAGGAGCTTCAAAATCAGCAAGCACAAAAACAGCAGGCCTATGGGCATGGCATTCTGATGGATCGAGGTGTTGCCGGAAGCCGGGTACCGCCTTTGGGCTTTCCGCTGGCATCACTACAGGACAGTACAGCCTGGTCTGCGGACGTTTCAGATGACCGGGTGACGGCATTCCACGAAGGATCGCCTTCATCAGAAGCTGACGATGAACGTGACGACAGTGATGACCAGGAAGAGGATTTGCCGAATGCGAAAGACTTCGAGAAAGCCCATGTTTTCAAGGTAGTAATGATGTGACACTTTCTTTATCAACCGAAGCTTTTTCATGATCAGTCTTTATTTAATTGGATCATTGATCACCAAGGTAGCGCAGGCAATAAAGGACGTGCAACAAACTGGTATCCGGTTTCGTAATAATCTCGCAGGACTTAAATTTATGCTATATTTTTGCTATCAGCTATCACTTCCAAACGTGATGGGAAGTCTGATGAGGCACATATGGGCGCGTGCACCTTTTAATCTTCGGTGTTCCTCCTATGAATCTAAAGATGGTGCGTACTTTTGGGTCGAGTGAAGCCCATAGGTCTATATCGCTGTTTGCCAAATGTAATTGGCATTTATAGAAAATTTGTTTTTCAGGTTCACAACTTCATGGGATTACCATGGTGTGACTTTTGTGGAAACTTCATGTGGGGGCTTATTGCACAGGGCGTCAAGTGTGAAGACTGCGGCTTTTCGGCTCATTCCAAGTGCTCTGAAAAGGTTTATTGTCCAATTGAGATGAGCTATATAGATGTCTTTAGGGTTAGGATTGTTAGAAGCAACTCGTATATATTGTTACTCTTATATACGGTCTCAGATTGTCTAGATTAATCTCACCTGTTTTAGCGCAAACTAAAAATTAGCGGAATTTTTAATTGAAATGTTACTTTGTTTACTTTTTATGCGCAATAGACATTTGGGCTAAATCAGCAGCAGTAGTAGTCATGTGTCTAGCAATATGATTTAGGTTGAACACACATAAGGACGGCTTTTAGAATAAAATTTCTAATGTCACTGTATGTACAGATTCCAAATGATTGCACTCCCGAGTCGAAGTTCGTGAAGCGCGTCTTCGGAGTAGATTTGACAACCCTGTGTAAGCTGCATGATATGGCCCGCCCGTTCGTCATCGAAATGTGCATCAAAGAGGTATTTTCAGCCCAATTGTTAGTCGATCGGCAGAACTGAATCGGTCGCCTATCATTTGACTCGCTTCCGCATGTTGATATAAATAATGTCAACCAAATATATCTTTTCCGGCTGCAGAAAGACGGTTTCCGAGCATTTCTTGTGATAATTAATAGCGTCAAAACTAAGTGTACATTATTATTTAATACCTAATTAATTGTATGGATATTTTGCAAGCCAATTACTAAAAACTTAATAGCTGTGAAACGTTTTGAAAGATAATTTACTTTTTTTGCCAGGTCGAACTTCGCGGAATGCAGGTCGAAGGCCTATATCGAGTGTCTGGATCAAAAGACGAAATCGAACAGTTACAGGCGTCATTTGAACAGCATGGCGACCGGACTCCTTTAGACATTAAGACTTACGAAGACATCAATGTCGTGAGCGGTTGTCTCAAGAACTTCTTCCGCCTTCTACCTATTCCGTTAATTACCTATGACACGTACGGAATGTTTGTGAATGCGGTTCGACGACTCGAGCTTGACGATAAAGTGGATGGACTAAAGGCTGCCGTGAGGTGCCTGCCGCCAGCGCACTATCAAAGCCTTAAATATTTAATCCAGCACCTTAATAGGTTAGCGACTGTGATAGTAAAATAAAAGACAGAGAATAATTAGTTGTGTTGATCCGCGCTGCGGTTTGCCAGGCTTTTTATTTACCGAAGTGAATTCCTGCAGTACATAAAATATGCCAAAATATATACTTTGTTATTAGGGATAGATGCTTAGCGCTTATGAAAATATTTACATTTTTCAGCCGTTAGAACACTGAAATACATTTTGTAGAGAACTATCATTTATTCAACTTTTTTCCCTATTACTGTTTTCCTGTCATCTTTTGTCGATATTAGGGTAACAGAACACGCGAAGTTAAACAAGATGTCAGCAGATAACCTTTCACGCATCTTTGCGCCAACGCTTCTCCGTTCTCCAGATTCCATGGGGATCGACCTTCAGGCAGCTCTGCAAACCGAAGCCATTGTCGTAGAGACTCTAATTATGAACCACAGAGCGATCATGGAACGCGGTGATTAGTTATCGTAGATCGATAGGTAAATATAACACTAACATGTACTTACAATACAGACAATGTGGCTGTGAAGTTCCACCGGTGAGCACGTAAGACCATGTACCCAATCAATATTGTGGACTCTTCAAGTTAATCACGCATCCTAAAACTATCATTGTTTATTCATAATGTATCATGCCGTCACAGTCGCCCGTTGTAGGTGTCTTGAAGATAAACTTTCTCTGAAAGTACGGTTCGAGAATATGTAACGTTACCGAGGCATTCAACAAGAAGCTTTGGGGATTAAATTGATATTGATCTCGTAATTGTCAAAAAGAAGATTGTCCGCTGTATCACCGATAAGGTCGTATTAACAACCATTTTTTGGGTCCAAGTTGGTCCCTAGACGTTAGTTATAACGACAATACAATGGTCGAAAGCGTCGCAAAGGTGATTATACGTCTATGCAACCATTTTTTTTTTTTATAGTGACCGTGAGACATGAGCTGAAAAAAAAAGTCTAGCTGATGTTTTCAAATCGAATTTTAGACTTGGCAGAACTTTAGAGAGAAAAAACCTGTGCTTAAAATAGATTGTATCACTAAAGGGTTGCATAAGTAAGTACATCCGAAGCAAACGACGAACGTAATTTTCTATGAATCTACATTAAATCGAATGGAATCAATGTAAAATGAACGATACTCCCGATATAGCTATTTCTAGTCCGCCAGCGATATACCGCTCACGGGGTGATCGAACGAGTCATTGCTTTATCGTTCATAAATAGAAAAGTAGCGTTAGGGCCACAGGTGGCCAAACAGCGTTATGGACCCAGTGAACGTTTTACCAGTGAAGACAGACGATAATTGTTTAAGTATACTTAAAATTGTACTCATTACCTTTATTCAACGTCATTTCAGAACGAACATTGCCTTGAAAAGCAGATATAACAGCATGTACTTGATCGGGTGGTGTGCTTTATGCATGGCCTGCTGTAAAACGTAATGTAAAGTGTGCCAAAGTAAATGTTCATTGAGTCTGTGTTCCCAGCTTCGTAACTGACTGATTCTTAGGTACGCGATACGGGAAACATCACACCCGATCGGACAACAAGCTTCGCTGGCAGCAGAGCTCTAGTTCTGCCATTACAATTTATTATTACGAAATAGTGAAAGATTCGAAACAAATGAATAAATGGACCACCAGCAGAAAAGGAATCAGAAATATATACATAAATATAATGAGCAAGTAAATTGTTAGTAATTTGCTGGCCTTTACAATTGGAATACACCAATGAAAAAGAATGTTGTCATTATTTTACTCGCTAAAAATGTGTTGTTTTCTATTATTACTTGATTAAATGAATCATGGGTTACGTTACCGATGCAGCGGGTCGCATACTATCGTCCCTATAGGACAATGATGGAACTGTGAGTGAGCGCACGCGAAGAAAAGGGTAGACAAACGATACTTGAACGAATTTTCGGAGAACCCAGGACCACTTTCCTGTGGCTCAGTTTGCGTTCTCATGTCGTCTAGATACACTACTAATAGTGACAATGCTTCGAATGATGAAGAAAATATTACTCGGGTAAAATAGACAAAAGCGTAGTGAAAATTCGACATGAACAGAGGACCCAACGCCAGTCATTTAGGCATATTTGTAGAAGTGACAAACATAATAAATAACAAAAGTAGCCCCATTTTTTCGTGTTGTTATTTAACTGTATAATTTCATTATAACTGCTATCAGGTTATTGGCTACGATTGATTATCAATTGGTTGATTGTGATGTAAATGCTATAAATATTAGATATAATACGTCCTTCTCTGTTTTCTTAGACTTAGGCTAAAACCAAAATGAGCGATTGCGCGATACTTCTTCGTACGGAATGAGTGGGAGACGCCATTACAAGAACTGTCAGGTCACTTTGTACCAGAGCTTAGGAACGCTCGCTACATAAATCAAAAGCTCTATTATCTCGCAGCAGTCGGAAAATTGCTCGTCTGTATTGTATTTAGAATCCACTATCAGGCTATTATTTTACTTTTCAATTTGCTGAATTGTCGTGAACACTCTAAAGCAAACGCATCTATCTACAGGGAAAGCTTGCATGTGAGTTTTTTTCTCCAACAGGAAAAATACCGTATCCTTCCAGAATCAAGCGAAGCGCTTGACCTCGTCAACTATGAGTTTGTGTATAAGCAGTCACTTTGTTCATATGGTAATGCGATCAGGGCTGCCAATTTAATTAGGGCATCCCTAGTAAATTATCATGTAAACGTTTTCAACACGTAAAACTTAAAAACGACTCTGAGATCTCAAGAATTTTCATTTCTACCCATATATATCATACTACATAGTTGAGCAGAAAATGCAAAAAAAATACAAATTTTCAAGGGTCCAGTGGGGGCATTAGGACCAAAGTTCAGCACCTTCTGATATAGTTTTTCCACGTTGTTTCTTACATATGTGACATAGTTATTTTTTTCTATTTTAGTACTATTGTCTGAACGTGCATTTATACAATGGAACGAGAATGAATTGCATAGAACTTAAACTGCGAAAATGTCCAACTTCTTCATAAGGTGGCTTAATCTTCTAAAGTTCCCCTAATTACTTTTTACTTTGAACCTAAGATGCTTTAGAGTTAGAATTTCGACAACACTAACCGGATAACACGGTCAAAATTTATATGTATGCCTGTGCCTACTGCACAATGTTCGACGAAAGCTCTAGCGACAATTTATCTACAACGTTTTACATCGTTAAGTTGCGTAATTTAATAATATGCGCTATTTCTTAATACAATTTTAAGGATGACTTCGATTTAATTAAGCTGAATTTCAATTATTAGTACTTGATAGTCAAAGGGCGTTGGGGTAGTATTCATTCTGGACAGGGTCCAGAATGATAATCATTTTTCGATGTTTAACCGATCAGCTGTGTTAGGTGAACTACAGAAAATGTTGTCAAAAAATAGTTCTTTAAGGGTGCGCTCCTATAACGTTAACGCTAACACAATATACGCCAATTCCGTGTATCGTACTTTCCATCCTATAACAGCCCAGCAACAAGAAATGTTGAATTTCGTATCGTGAACGCCGACTTCGAACAGCATAATTTCGAAACCTGTTTCGAACAGCATAATTTCGAAACCTGTTTCGAACGAAAAGTGCTCATGGTAAACAATAAATGCACGTTTTATCGAACGCACACAAATCAGGGGGACTATGACCTTTAAACTCAATAGCGAAGTATAATCATTAAGAGCACCAAAAGACGACTCAGCTCAAACAAGGTAGCCATTGTTCGGTAGAAATAGCTTTCTTCAGATATATTTTTCATCGCTTACTTACTCCTGGATTAACTATAATACGTGTGAAAATATGCATTTGTAGAACTTCATAACAAATAGAGCATTACACTCATAAGCAATTTACGCATCAGGATCTCAATTACGTTTCTGACCGTTTTTTTTTTTGTCTATTCTAAAGAAGATCATGAGAATACGACGGATATAACGTAAACAATTTAAGATGATTATGCGGCGTCGCCGACGTTTAGACGAGAGTTAAGTCGGATGATCTGAAGTTGTTTTTTTAGTTTTAAATATTTGGAAAATGAAAAGGTTTAAAGAAACAGTGTCGCAATATATATATATATATATATATATATATATATAGTAGTATTACTATCTCAGATATAAACAATGCTAGCTAACTAAAAAAAACATTTTTTTTTACACCAATAACTGAACTGAAAATAGATCGAGCTAGTAAATATTTAAGCTCGCATTTACTGTAGCTATTCAAGCCAGCATGAGACGATAGGCTAAAGTGGAAATTCTACTATAACTATACATGAAAATAATGATAATAAATAAACATACTATGTTTTGGGGTCCTTCACATCCGGTACATAAGCCGTTAAGCACTGCTCCAAACGGCCCGCTCTCAACACGGAACGAAATATGTCTACTTCAACCCACACCACCACGTGTCCGTTTGTACAAAACGATGTTACTATAGCATCTACGAAGATAGCATATTCGCTCTTAAAAGAAGTCTGATTTTCGAATTACGTAAAAGGCACGTATTTTATGTTTTGCAGTTAATACTGACCTTAGTCTAGAAAATTACTAGTAAGAAGACATTTTTGGAAAATTACTTTATAGTCGTTTTTGGCAATTCTCTCTTTCCGAGCTATTCTAACCGGCAATTATAAAATAAAGATATCTTGTTCTCTAGTCCGAGAAATAAGCGCGTAGCTAATGAGCAGTTGAATGTTTTAGAATAAGTCACTCAACCGTTATTATTTCCAAATGCATGCTTAGTGGTTTAGCCAGCAGGATTTCGGTTTCAGGCAGGAAAAACAAAAGAAAAAGTGGTCTTTCAACCGAGAAGAGCTGCGAAATCGAGTGGAAAAATATGAACAGAGATGGACTAGGTATTAATAGAATGGTAAAGAATGTTTTTTTCTATCATTTCCTACGTCACTTTTTCACGACCAAATGTCCCCCAATATTATCTGGTCCATACGTCCACTGTTCGCTACAAACAACCGCAGTACAATTATTTCGTTAGGCCTCGGCCGATGTGACTGAATATCGAAGTTTTGAGAGCAACTAATAAGGAACGAGCTACCAGTTCGATTTCACCCCTTCACTTCGCGTATTTAATCACTGAGTAATCGTTGGTGATGTCCGGCGGGCGTCCAGCCAGCAGAGAACTTCTGTCCACGTTCCGTTCTATTTGACTTCACTTCCGCGCCAACTCCGCCGAGAGTTCTACGATTATGACTATTATGGTTTTGTTGTCAATGCTACTCCCATCGATCCATCGATAGAATATAGTGTCATCAGCAAAGAACGAATAGGAAGGAAGATATCAGACGAGACAGACAATGCTAGTCGGTAAAGGATGAAAAACGTCGATATTCTTTCAGCTGCCATATAAACCTATGTATATGTCTATTTCAATGATATAATAGGTATCGCTTTCTAGCGCTTGCCAAAGTTATCGAAACGGTCTATCATTGATGATGAGGCCGTAGATGATAAACTTGTAGCGATCATATCATCGAGGCACAGCCGTGTATACGCGGTTCTATGCAAAGATAAGCGCGACCGTGACGCCAATAGTCACCGTGTAGAAACAGTCTCCACCGATAGTGCTGAACAAAAACGATAAAGCTGACATTTTAGCAGCAGCTAGCATTTTAGTAGCAGCTAAAAAACGCCAGTTCGAAGACATTTGGTCCTTCATAACTGCAGACGACTACTGCTGCTGCTTCCGCTGACTAGAAGTATCTGAAAAACCGTTAAACGATACTGTGTATGCTCAACACGTGGGAGCAGACAATTCAAGTTTATGGATTATTATAGACGATAATGATTAAATGATAAAACCAGAAAGCGCCAAAAACTGTATGGACAAGCGGGACTATGAAGTGGGTGGGGTAGTTGATGATGTCGACCTTTTCAGTGCTACAAAAAGTCACATGCGGAGGTTTCAATCTTTTTTTTTTGTTATAGAGCACGCGATCGGCTGAACGGATCAGTTGAAAGCATGTTGCATAGGGGTTTAATAGTCACCTTGCTAACAACGAGACAAAATTTTCACGCACAAAACTCAGTTGATGATGTAATTCTGGGGCATAAGCTTTCGCCTTTCGGATTTGTTCGGCAAAAACTAATCAATTTCAGTGCAGCTCAAACCCGGATGAGAACTTTTAAATCTCGATAATGTTTACAATCCTAGTCATAGATAGTAAAAAAGTATGGCGTGAAGATATGTTATTTTGTGACTTCGCTAGTAGCCGTTTCATGATAGCAATTAACGGAAAAAATACCCCACCACTTCGGGATGCATATGCAGATGTATGGCGAATTTTGGTTTTTATATCTGGCATATTTTTATCTATTCTATTCATGTTCAGTGTTTAAACGCATGAATACTGATCACGTCAAGTAGTGTGATTAAATTTTATTTTTATTGCCGACTTCAGGGCAAAAACGGTGTTGCGGGCCTGGGAGCCTGAAAAACAATTAACTGACACCTGAACTAATATTTTTCTTTTATGTAAACACGATGCTTTATTTTGACTGTGGCTTTTTATAAGTACTCACTGCTTTCCTGATCTATATGTATAACATTAGCCATTTTAATTACTCGAATGAAATCGATGTTTTAAGACCGCAATTTTCCCTTTATGTCAGCCACTGCTTAATAAAGCATAAGCACTGATCTTATGCCATCTATTGTTCTGGTCACAATACTGGCAGAAGGATTTCAGCAGACCGTCGTACGAATGCGCAAAGTTTTACCTTGTCTCTAAACAGCTGCAACAAACGACAGTGCAGAGTTTCTTTGTTGCTAATGTTTTGTATCGAGGCTTTTGACCTTATGTGTCGAACAAAAGTCCAAATAGATTTGAAATACAGATGGAAACATTGTTAGAGTACTGCTCGCATTTCTCTAAGTTGCAGGGAATTTTAGATTCCTTATAATAAAGATTCATGATAGAGAATCGTCAGCTTAGCTTATCCTCTTTTTTGCAAGGCGAAATGGCCTTGAGAAATCTTCGATATGTAGGTAAAATAAAGCCCAGTAAAAATTTACAGAACTGTAGTAGACTGCATCGTAGAATAACAATTCGTTTAAGCTGATTGAGAAGACTAAATTGAACCCATTCACAACAGTTATCGCCACTAGCTAATCACAGTCGCCATTAATTACGGACAACTAATGTAGGTAAATACAAAAAATAGCTTAGGTCAATATAGGACATGAAGTTAACGATCACAAAAGTCATTGCATATTTTTTCAATAGATGCAACAATATGAACAAATCTTGATTTAATTCGTCATAGATCCGATAACAAGTCATTCTTAGAATTACTACTTAGAAAAAAATTTCAACCTTTTTCTGGTAAGGATAGCGTAATGTCCATAGCGAAATTCTCTATATTCTCGGGTCGTAATACACGGACCCAGCATAAATGGCCAGCTGAATGTTCCTAAAAAATCAAGATTATATAATTACTAATCTTTCGCGGATGCAATGCTCTTATAAATTCGTCCAATACTTGGTAAAGAAATGGTGGTAAGAAAGCTACTCAGTTGTCACTTTCTACTAATATGTGACCGTCATTGATACTGTGATAGCTTGGACAATGGCTAAAAGGGTAAGCTTAAAAACCGTTGTTATACTTATAACAATGTGCAAAATAGGGGAAATGTGTCTTTACAGGTCAGGAGTCTTTATTTTAGGTGTGTACAATATATCGATATATATATATAAAAGAGTGACCTTTTCTAACTGTCGTGAGAATTTTCCCATTGCGTACATTGATTTAGAACTTTTCGTTCTCATAATGGCTCAGGTGAGGCGTTGGTTTGCCACATTTATTCGATTTCAGTTCAGGCTTAACTTGTAGTAAGATTCAAGGCCTTTTTCGGAATTTACTATACGGTTTAAATTAGTTTATCACGTACGTACATTTAAATAAAGTTTCGTCATCGTAAAATTTCATCGGAAGCTAGAAAATTTCAACTTATCTAAAAATTAACGTAAGTTAATGTAATCTTTATCGCTAAGTTGGCAGATGTTTAGTGCAGACCACAGAGGGAAGGTCTTCTAAATACACGAACTAAAAAGTTAACTAGAAAAGACACAGATAACTTTGATTCTTAACATGCTGATAATGATACTGTAATGACCGTATCAGAAAATCCAACGAGAGAAAACGTTGAGACGATCGATAGAAGACGGCGACGTCCGTTTCGAGTAAAAGTGAACGCGCGTAGGATGAACAAGCCAAAAAATATCCTCATCCTTGCTGGCCGTTAACCAGTATGCCGGTATGATGAAAGGGGCTTCCTGCAGGTGCATCGCTATAGTAATGAGGTTCGCCGAGTTGGCTATACAGCCGTTGGAATCGCCAAGTTAATGTAAAGGTAAAATATTTTCACCGTTAATAACCGTTCGTTTGGTTCGGGTGTAACGCGTTACTTCGGCAGTAGTCATGTGGGTTGCGGTGAACATGTGTTACACTGGGGACGCTGTCTGTGTACCGTATATCTCGCAATTTGCGACAGCCGCAAACCGCGCAGTTCTCTAGAAAATCGGGTATGCTGTGATTCGGCTACGGTCAAGAAGCTGAAGACCAACATCAGAAAGACCACTCTAGAAAAAGCGCAGATGCTGCCAAATTGATGTCGACAAAAAATCTAAGACAGAAATTATTGGAGTAAAGATGGATGTCTGCTAAGGACGAGGGTAGAAACTACAGACTAAATCTGCACGATATTTTGAGGGAAAGAAAAAATTTCTGCGGGTAAAGGTGGATAGAGGGGACTACTTTCCTAGATTCGAAAACGAGGGCTAAGGGTGCGGGACGAGTGAATATATAAGTAGGGCAAAAGTGGCTGGAAGCGACATGCTTACAAGCAGAGTTGGTCAGTGAACATTTATCCTCTTGCTAAAGAGAAACTCGAACACCATGAAGGCTGCGGTAAGTCTAAGTAGTAAACCTTAATGTACGTTAGGGGAAGTGCATTAACCTGTTATGTATATAACTTACTGTTACAATGTTAACACAGTTGGTGGTTAGCATACCACCATTACCTTTGTTAGAGCTAAATGCACAGGCAATCTGCTACTACCTTTTAACAAGACAGCACCGACCCAATTATACTTGATTACATTGAAATTGATATTCAGAACATAGAAGGACACACGAGTCGTTCTGTGCTTCTCTGTCCCAATAGATTGTTCTTCTGGGAACGCTCGTCGGTTTTGCCTCAGCTGGTTACTTAGGATATCCTGCTTATGGAGCGTACTATGGTGGTTATGGATACGCGGCTCCTTATGCCTATGGAGCGTACGTTGAACCTTACTATGCCGCGCCCATCATTAAGGTTAGTACTCTTAACTTAAATCCGAGTGGTCGACTCTACAAAGTTTCACAAGCAAAAAAGCAGCGTTTCATGGATATCTTAACGTGCGACCCATAGCCTTTTATGCAGCTCAATCCTATGCATTTGAAGTAGCCAGTTTAGTGGTTAACTGTTATCTAAACCTCGTGATTATTTCCAGACCTCACTTGTTCCAAGTTATACCTATACCAAGACGTACCATAGCCCAATTGTAGCGGCCCCCATCGTGAAGCCAGCGTATTACGGTGGTGTGTACGGAGCTTACGGTTATGCCTCGCCCCTGTATGGTGGTCACGGATACGGACTCCACTACCTTAAAAAGAAGTAATCAACTCTTGCGCTAAGGAGGGGGATGCTCAAATCCACAAGACCAACAACTACATTTAGAATGCGCTTAGAAATGTACGCACATGAATCACGCGCCAATTTTATCATAAGGCGATTCTTTACGTGAAATTTTATCTGGCTCGCTTCTTGAATAAATTACCATTTGTTGTACATATAGGAAAGAGTTATCCATGTTGTGAAGCTAGTTTGTTTTCGTGCTACTCTAGGAGTAGTTTAGGTTCGAAACTAGGCTTCGTTTCTTGATGGGAATCAGTCGTCTTTGTCCGTATATTGACGTGAATTGAACAAAGTGGACGCAGCTACGAGGACTTCGATGGCCAATCGTTGTGCTATAGAGCTACACGTGTTTAGATGATGTAATGTTATCTTTCGCATTGTAACAGTGTTTTACATAATGTGCTATATATACATACACATCGTTGCTTCACTGGTTCTGAATCGACTATTCTCTGGAAGTTTCGCTTCTGTTTATTTTGTTTAGGTGCGCCTCCAGTACTATCCTTCGCCATCTGACCTATCACGAAATATTCCAGAACGAAATCGTGGTCAGGCTGTTAGCATCCTCTACATAGTCCTTTGTCGAAAGAAAAGGCCGAAAACTGACTTCGACTGTGGCTTCATCTACAGACTAGTATCTGTAGGTGGACATAAAGATCGACGATAAAGATGTTCATTATAAATTTTATGATTTTTGACCATATTCTTATTCTACCATTGTTCAGTTCGACTTTTTACAGGATTCTTTTTACAGGTTTATTAACCTAGACTCGTCCTATGTGTTATGTGCGTTATATGCCTTAGAAACTGTATGTAGACCTATCGTAATGCAGAGTGAGCTGCACATGAAGACAATTACAATTGGAAGAATAGGATGATTTCGACTCATTTCGATTCAATGACAGCGGGTCTAAACAGGTAAAGGGGAAAAGTAGATCAGTCAAAAAATAATGGTTAGTTGTAAGCACTCTTTTTAGATTATTTTTAAAAAACAGTACTATTGGGAAAGTCAAGAAAAGATTTTTAAGTAAGAGATCATGCCTTTCCGATCAATATCTACATATGGGTAGAAATTTGCAATACATTTTTTGTTCTAGGCTTTTGAGGGCAAATAAATAGCTTCTATGCCTCCAATGTGTAGAACGGATGGCCTTTTTTGCTTCTCCTATAGAAACATTTTCGAAATAATGATAATGTCGAAAATATTTAACGAAGGCTGATAGGGATAGTTAGCCGTTTAAATCAGAGTAGTTAAGAGGCCTCTACCGCTTAATAGAATCATCATGCCGTGCTGCCCAGACCGTGACGCAGTACGAAATGGCTCTTCTGTAGCGGGCCTGCCACACCTTGGCACTACTGGCTTATTCTTTCATTCTAATTATTGGTTGTTAATAAAAAGACCGGCCAATGCCTGCTAATTGTCAGCTCCTCTATGTTTCTGTTGACTGATGATATATTGGAAATATACTTTCGTACAAATCTGTTATTATCGTTTTGTGTGGATCACTATCAAATTCGAACTACAAGGGCGGCCATATTGGGCGCCAAGGAACAGTGTCTCCACAGTTTTAATTTGTTTTTTGTTGAAAGCTAAACGAGCCAAACTAATCGGATAGACGACAATAACCTCCTACCAGACCGTAGCAAAAACTGTCAGTTTCGAGAAAACGTTTTCGATTTATAAAATGCACTACACCATTGAAGTCTGACGAGGGCCGCTCTGAGCTATCATAGAAAATATTCGTGTGAATAAGCTTATTCTTAGGCGACTGTTTGATTAAGCTGATGCAGATCGCGGAAAGGATCATCAAGAGACCCAATCATTTTAGCTGAGTTCAGTAGGCACAGTTTTTTTCGATTTATTTTTGCGATTTATTCCGTTATTTTGCTGGGCATGGCATGTCTTTTACACAGTTTGCCCACAGTGAGTGATACAAATATATGACACTTTTTCCACTTCGTTTTGCTTTCGTTCACGCCTGCGATACTTTTAAATTAATTTAAAAATGAAAATTTCGGCAATTTCTTGATAAAAAAAAGGTCGAAGTGTTAACATTTCGAAAATGCCTTTTGAAACTCTCGTAATTCAAACTTCTACGGAAATGGAATTAACAGTTTCTAAACAAATGTCAGAAGGTTCTAGATTGAAAATGTATACAACTAGTTTGAAAATATGAGAACTGAGCCTGCGGAAAAGGCTCAAAAGGTTCACTGTCGTCCCGAACGCTCTATATTTTTATTTTTAGCATCCACCTTTCTCTGCATAAGAAGGCGCCGAAAAATAAACATTAAAAGGTATTGACAAATTAAATACGTTATAATGTGTCAAGAGAAATTTATGACTTAGTATAACTTTTGTTTTCTTTTTAGAGTAACGGAGTTGAGACGGATCAATGACGTTTTAATAGAAAGAGCTGGTGCTTATTTTCAGACTTATTTTTCAAAAACAAAACTCGCGGCCATAGATATGATGCAAGATGCTTACTTACCAAAACGTACGCGTCTGTTTGTGACTTGGATACTACGTTTGAAGCTCATTCAAGCATTTACTACTTACATAAATGCCTCTAAAACGATGGGCTATAACCCACTGAAATTCGACGAGTATGCGCGCAGATCTTAGAAGTATTTACGACAACTTAGTGGCTGCATAGACATCCGTGGATCCAACTGGAGCCGTGTCTGCGTTTGGCAGACGGACTAAATATTTGAAAATATTAATTGTTTGGAAGCGTTCATTTGCTCGCAAAATGTTGACAAACCGTAGGCACTGATATTCAACCGGCGTTTCAACCTCGTAGAGCTTGAAGCAATCTTTAATCGTATAACTAATTACTGCATAGGTATAATATATATTCATATTATTGCCGGTACATAGCAAATTAATATTGTAGTAGAGTACTTTAGGTTTGTGTTTTACGCCCGGCATATAAACCGTTAGGCATTACTTCAGACGGCTAACTTCCAAAACAACACGAAGTGTGTCTGTGCTCGGATTCGAACCCAGACTATCACCCTGGACCAGCGCCTGCCCCTAAGTTTACCGCCGCGTTATCACGGAGACTGGGGCTATAAGAGAATCGTCTTTTCTTTAATTTCTTAACCGTAAATCCGTCGCATATATACCTATTCTACTCATGCCCGATCAGTCTTTAAAAGAAATTATCGTTTGATTTATAGTAATGAAGATTTTCGATTGTGTGAAGTTCGGTGGCAACGCGATAATGTGAAATATGTGAAAATTTTAAATTTACAAAATCCTTTGCAAGCGGTCAAATTAACCTGGAGTTGTAAAAACAAGAAGAATTAACTGGTTAGGAAATATATAATTTAAATTACTGTTGGGAATACATTTTTTCTTAATGAGGGTTAATATTTCTTGGAAAAATCAATTCGTAAATGGAAAAGTAACGTAATTTTTCTAGAAACCGAAACAGAAAAGAAGGGCCTCTATTCAGGTATAAAACTATACGGCTTATTTTTTATTTACAGCATACAGAGGCAAACAGAAGCAAAATTCATATTCGCTGGCAGACCAAACGTGAAGTTTACCGTACGAAAACGTTATTATCATCGTCACTTACTTCAGAGTTGCAATATAAGCATACAGGATATGCTAAGAAGTCGAGAAATATATGAAGATACAGCTGTAAAACAATTTATTCTAGATATCTGTCTTTAATAAACAGCTCCGTACAGCCTAATACCAAAAATGAACCACCTGCTGAGATAACTGCTTGGCTGAGATATCTCAAGCCAATCAAAAAAAAAAAAAAAAGAAGAACAATACAACGTTATTATATGCTCGAGCCAGTCGAACGAATCCCCTGACACGCATAATTTTTTTTTAAATTGAATGCGCCAAACAGTGATAGCGGTCGTCATTATTGATTCATTTCTTTTTCCTCGTTAAGAAAGAAAATAGGCAGCAAAATGTAGGCAGTATCACTGCCAACACATTGAGCACTTCTTTAACTTCTCTCTATGCCCAGAAGTTCGAACGAGCAAAATTGGCTAACCAAAGTTAGAGCGGATGAGGCCGAACTGTATAGGATCCTTTACCACGGTATCTCCTTCTTTTAAATTTTTTCAAATGTACAATAGCCGCTGAGGGAAAGTTGCCAGCAGGTGGCAAGTACCTTGCCTCGCACATACTATGACCACCTTCCTTTACTATATATATAGAGATATAAGCTGACAACGAAACCTAGCGTTCTCGGGTTAGCGAAGACTTCGAAGATATATTGTACTTGCTACAGCTCAGACTAGCAATTAACATGCGTGCACCGGTGAGTGAAACCGAAAACGGTCTCTTATTCTATTAAACTACTTTTCAAGTCGAGAAACCTTTTGCATCACTAACAGATACTCTAGATTTCACTGTTTAATTACCCTTGCATTAGTTTGTTTTTTTGTTATGAGAAAAAGTGTAATTATTTATGTTTATTTTTATTTATTTAGTTAGAAATCGTTGCGTAAACTTCAAGGCAGCCTTTGAAATTGTAAAGTTCTTAGAATTTTTTGTGCTCTAAGCATACAATGATATTTTAGTGCAGCAGAAACATCTCGAGTGCCATTATTCTTATTGAGTTCCTATGAGCTTTATTCAAGTTACTTCCGGAGCCATTGTGAGGTATTCTCCGTTTTGATACTTCGTGCTGAGACAGGTAGACGAAATCTTCTGTAAACAGAAACGACGTATTTATATAATATAGGATGCCGAACGGATCTCGATATGTACCGTTGAGCAGAAGCTTGTTTTAGCGGTATCAGTTCCATAGATATACGATATTGTCATTTTTTTTTTTAATCGGGGACACATAACCTGGGCTTGGTAGACGCGTAGTCCAATTGGCATTTAAAGAAAATATTTTTAACGAAAATCTCGGAAGGAACATGTCGCCAGGAAGAATCGCACTTACATGAGTTGTTTTATTATTTAACCATTGCAAATTTATGAAATGCTGATAATATCTCTTCTGACAGAGGTTATTATTCGAGACTAATATTATTTGTTCGATAGGGTAATCTATCAGCCAACTTATTTATCTGTCTGCTACGCTTATCACGATAACGTAACGGTAGGTGCACTTACACATCCTAAATACACTTCGCTATTGATCTGTTTTTCATTTTAATTGGTAACGTCGCAATGCTTCTTCGTCCTCTTAGTTCGCCCTTCTCGTTGTGCTGGTGGGTGCCGTTTTAGCCGGCTATCCCTATGGGGGTGCATATTACGGAAGTTACGGCGGCTATGGTCATGCTGTACCGTACGTGTATGGAGCTGCCTACGGTGCCCCCTACCTCGCCGCACCCGTTGTTAAGGTGAGATACTGAAACAGAATGCCCTTAGACTGTTTCACGTTGTATATAAGCATAAAAGGCAATATTGTCGCCAAAAACAAATTAACTGGTATGTAAGTGTACGTGAGGACCAGATAAACAATTTCCGCGTTTAAATCCACAGTTAGCAATATGCCCAATCTTATATCATTACATAGCTTCTAAAGGTCACCAAAGAATCCTCACTGATCCAGCGGATCTATCACAATCCTAACGTTACCTTCTTCTTGTTTTTTCGGTCTGCGTTCAGGCGCCTCTGGTCTCCAGCTATGCCTACACAACCAAAACTATCCACACGGCCCCCCTTGTAGTAGCTCCTGCTGTAAAGCCCGCATACTACGGAGGTTACGGGGGTCTGTATAGAGGGTACGGTTATGCATCACCCATCTATGGTCGATACAAGCATTACTATAAAAAGTAGACAAGGGGACCGTCTCTTTATTTGACGAACCGAATAAATAAATGAAGGAAAGCCAAAAATATAAGTGCCGCGCAAATGATCCAGCTACTTTGTAAGCCGCAGATCTGCACCTCCTGTTCCTATCTGATATCGTTAATCCATCCTTGATGGATAGCTGTATACTGCCAAATACTTGTTTCCTAGTAGATTTTTAAGAATAATATGTATTCAGAGATGCTCTTTTTGTTCAATGATAATTTATTTGTGTTATGTACGTTGTCATTTCTAATCAATAAATAATCCACACGCAGTTCGGCGCATTTCTGCTGAAGAAAATAGTCTCGCTCAAACACTTTTTATATACAGTCAGGTTGAAATACGATCGTAGGCAGGGTCTGTTTCGAACTATTCAAAAATGCGAAAGGAAGTCTGGAAAACCTAACGTTGGGCTGCTAACAGGCCGAGGAGTCCCAAAATCCCAAGAATAAAGCACTTCAAAAAAAAAGCTGAAAAATTTCTATGGTATATCCGAAGAAAAAAAGCGATAGGTATGTTCGTCTCTAAAACAGCAACCAGACTCGAGGACGATAATGAATCTTTGGGTCACTTCAAATACTAGCTGAGTGCAAGTAATAATAATAATTTCGAATAATTCGAATGTTTCTGGCTAGATATTGATAGGTTTCACTGCTAGCACGCATTATAGAGTGGGTTATACTTCATCTAAAAAGGATATTATTTTATGCAAACGTATGCTTTACGTTACACGCTCTAGTTTGGGTACTGGTATAGCATAGAGATAAAGTTACTTATTGGCTAACTTAACTGATAAGGTAAAACAAATAGCTAATGCAAGCCGGTGGATAGGAGTAGCCTTTTTAGGTTACGTCTTCGAGCGTAAATCTGTTGTTATCAGAATAAGCCAGGTAGTGGTACGTGGCAGTATGAGCGATGTCGGCAGAGGTCTGAGAGGTGATGGCCAAGAAGAAGAGTGCTGGCTGGAACTAAAAAGACGCATGAAAGTTAGCAGAGTATTAGTTAGGACGAGTTGTATACTGATCTCCTTTCGATCAAAAAATCCTTCTCCATAAGATGAAGCCATTAAATGCCGCCCAGTATTACAGGGATGGCGGCGATTTGCATCTTTTTATATCAGTGGGCATTTCCTTCTTTTACAGTGCGGCCAATTGCACAGTGTACACACTTTGCCAATGAAGAAAACATTGTTATAGATCGACGAAGTCCACCTATGGAATGTGTGAAGTTGGTTAGCTTCTGTTCACTTGAAGAAAAATCTTTGCTTTGTGTTTTTTTTTGTGCTTGGAATCTTTTGTTTATTGTTGTTACTTCGAAATCGACTACCTTACAGTTTTATTCAAAATAATTAATCCTCTCTAGTCTATGTTTGTTTCTGCTGTTACCACTTTGATAAAAAGCAAACGCTTTTGCTTGCCTAACAGTTGAGCTCCACTTTCTAAACAGGTTTTGTACAGCCGGAACATTATTTTTGGTTTACTATGTTTTTTTGCTGTTTCTCCAGCTCCTTTTGCCAAATTCACATTTCTCATACACAATAGAGACCTGCTACCTTTTTGCGTCAATAATTTTGATAGTAGAGTTTTTTTGTCGGCAAGCATCAAATGCGAGTAAATAGAGGTTCGGCAAATAGGCTTTTGCTATACGTCCGTCTAGTGACTCTGAGTTACTATTGAATATTAGAAGATACGAACGTGTTTTCCCTTGGTATACAACGAACCTAATCGATTATAACAGAATAGGGTTTAAAAAGGAAAGCATAATGGAATAAAATACTGCCGAACCACGGAACATGCCCAATACGAGAATTTCGTCGTCGAAATCTAACGACAAAGTGGCAATATATATAGTAAGAAATTTAAATGTAAAAAAGAAAAAGGTTAAGATTCCTCTATTTTTCCCGTACTTCTTTTATTCGTTTTTTTTTTTTAATCGATTCTTAGTCCATGATTACAGTTTTTTTTTTGTCGTTTAATTCGGTTTCTATTGGTGATCTTTTTAATCTGAAATATGGTATCTGAACTGGAAAAAAGACACAATAAATTTATATCCTAATATTATATATATATATATATATAAATCGTTAACTTTATCGTATTGTAAAAAACTTTTTCGTATACTTTGACATTTTTTATATTATATTTTGTTACTGTTCGCTGTAATGTTCCGTGATGTGTTTCTGATATGGTATGTATCATATACAGTATGGGCGACAGATAGAGCTACGCTAGATAAGTTCCATGGTTTATCTTCGTTATCGGTAATCGAGCAACGGGGCAGTAATAAGATCCTGAAAGTAAATCACGCCCAGGACAGCAAACAAAATAACGCATACAATGTAGGATTACATAAGGATTATAAATTCCTAGTAGTCGTACCCAAGTGTTGTTTATCGGTTGTAAGTTTTCTCTAATTCATCTGTCAACGCCCCGTTAGGCTTTGAGTTTAGGCTCAGTAAATCGCTTATCGATGACCTGAAAATATATTCTCTATTAGCGTAGCTAGACAATTGGTTTCTTTTTCTTTGAAAAAGGTTAGCTGATATTACTGTTAATTGGTGCAGCGAAGAAGGTGCGTCGGCGTCAATTCTATTTTGGACGCGCTCCAATGGTTTCTGGTAGATTAGTGCTAATTTTGCAAAAAGTACGCGCAAGATGGTACTTCTAGACATTTTTTTAAAAACGGTTAAAATCTTACGTGAATTGCTCTTGATCTTTTATAGTAGACAAATTGCGGTATGATTCCTCGAGATAGTCCCCTCGTCTTCGAAAAAAGAACATCCAAACACAGCAAAGCGTGCCGTCTACATAACGCTATATACTGTGGAATATGTCCAAATCATAAATAGTTGATTTTTACAGTCTGCGTGTAATTAGTATATACGAAGCTATAGGGAAGACTATTCGAGAGACGTCTACAATGTTAGGTAACCATTAACAGTGGGCATAGAACTCGTTCACAACCTGTTTTTCTGGTGGATCGGCAGTACGCCGAAAAGTGGGCTTGTAATCGTACGTCAATAAAAGCACACAAGTTCATTTAAGCCATAGCTGTTAATCGTGAAAATGAATGATGACACAAGTATGTTAATTTGACTATGCTATACTTTTTTTTATTAGATCTTACTAAAATTTTACTTCTAATTTTTTTTACAAATACAAAGCTTTTTCCCGATCTGTTTTGTTAGACCTTCAAATAAATAGTCGTCCCCAAACCAGTCGAAATCATCCTACTAGAATACTCTTAACAAACGTGGCTCTCATTCCGTTACGACCCTAACTGACAGTCAGGCATCGGGGCGTATTCATCGTCGGATACCCGTCTGGATTGAAGTCCGTTTGGCATCTGCTACATTGCACTCTTTTATTTTTTCGCAAGGGGAGCGTAAACGGTTCCGTAGCCGAAACCGTAATAGGGCGATGAAATTGTCTTCACGATGGGGTTGTACGAGACAGCCGGCGCAAGGACGGTTTTGTGTACTGACACGGCGGGTGCGGAATACGTGGTCGCGTACGGCGCAGCGTAGGTCGTGTACGTCGGAGCGTATCCGTAGGAATAAGTGTAGGGCAAATGGTAAGTATCGGTGTAGGCAATGCCTCCAAACGCTTGAGAGGCGATAGCCATGAAAGCAAGAGCGGACTGAAAGGTCAGCGGGCAAAGTATAATGACTCTTAAGTTAGTTTACACAAAATTAACTAGGACTATAGAGCATGAACAACGACAACTTTTTTAAATACACAGTGCATTTTACGCAAAAAGCTTCTACAAAACAGATACATTCGAATAAAAAATTCGACCATTTTTTAAATGGAGAATGGATGTTATGCAAGCTTTATAAGGTGTGCATTGCGCAAGGGCCGAGAGGTCTCCAGAGAATAAAATACGTTAATAGACGTCGGACCTATTAAAGAGCCCTTGTCTTGGATACTTACCAAAGCAAACATGATGTTGTGTTGATGAGAGCTAGCTGCATTAAAGTACGACTAGTTCCTGACTCCGGTTCGCTTTTATACCAAAAGTGTGCCCCGAATGGGCCCTCGGAGAATCCCAGACCCGGACGGCACAGCATAAAGCAAATTTCCTTCTTTACAGAGTTTCCTTCTCGACGACAACGAGCCATCGGCGTCAACGCGTTATCAGAAGAATGGCGAGGGATGACATCTTTCCTAGAGAGAGGTAACAGGAGATATCATTCCTTTAGCAAATCGGCTAAAAAGTGTTGCTGATTCTGGCAGCTTCTAGAAACGGTACTTCAAAATAGTGAACGTCTGAAGGAGGACCTCAATGGCTTCTTATTTGACAGCGCTTAATTCCACAACGACCGATACCAGCGATGCGAAGTTGGATCTACGAGGAGTGCAAAGTTCGGATCCATTCGTAGCAATTTATTTTATCAGCTGTGTGGTCTTTCATTGCGATTTATCTCTTGCAGATATGTGCATAATTTTCTATGTGACTTGATTTTGTGGAGCTCCCTTCGGGGGACGAGATACTAGGGAAACATGGCGAGTCTTTTGTCAGTCTAGACATAGTTATATCTATGTAGCGCAGTGTTAATGGGGTTATTGTCTGTGCTAGTTTTTTTGCTATATCGAAGCCAGCAGAATCCCAATTAAAATAACTTATTTGTTTTACGTATGCTCATCGCAATGGAAAAATAGTTTCTAAAAAAAAACTTTTTTTATTGACTTTCCATCGATTTCAATGTTCGGATGCATATTTGTAGGCTTAAATTTGATGAAAATAAACCTAGTTTTTAGAAAAGTATCTCTTAATTCTGCCAAGTGACTTTCTTTTATTTAGAAAATGCCCCAACGTTCTGAATGAGCTTTTTTGTACAGCAAAAAGAAACAGAAGGTAAACAGGTCAAGTTTAATTGGGCCTTGTTGCCCTCTGGTTCTTATGTCGAATTCCAAATTAACTCCAATGTTGGCCAAGCTAACCTCGCGTGCTGATGAAAAAGCTTTTGATTGAACTAAACTGCCATTTTTTTGTATTTCTTTGCCCGCTGCGGAAAGTTTACGCTTAAAACGATGTGACTGGGGACGTTTGTTTAGATAGAGCACGAACGAGCCAGTTTCCCTGAAAACATCATCAGTTCAAAGGCCTAACTCTGTTTGCCTGGGTGCTACGGATCTCGAACGAACGACACAACGAATCTAACTCTTGATGCTACCGTTATTACGACGATAATAGAGCACACGTTTCTCTATATATAGAGACAATCAAACTATTCTAAAGGATATTTATCTAAGGTTTTACGATTTATCGGATATGGAAGCGACTCTTGTAGTTTTCCTCGAGAAGCGGCAAGTTGCGTTGTTATTTTTTAAAGAACAGGCAAAAGTTTTTAGTGTAATAAAGGTGGGTTAGGACATGACTACTTAATAGACGTATGGCAACTCTTCCCACATAGATGACCATTATATTTATATGATTTATTTCTGCGGAGATGAATAGCGGAACTGAAAACGATATGGATTTTCGAATACATAAATAGTGTACTTTGGAAGTAACATCTGTTACTTTAAGGTTATTTAAGTGAATTGTGTACACATTAATGTACAGTGTACTTGTTTGTTTAAAACAGGCTCATCCCGAGGTGCTACTTTCTAGGAAATCAGTGGAAACGAATTCATTCATTGATTTTGACACTACCTTACAATTAGGACTCGAGCGAAAGGCTCTCTCTGTACCGCTCTGATTGGAACGTAGCATCGTCTTTAGTCACTCGTAGCGATAACAGTCAAAGTCCCTCACCCTTCCAGGACGTTGTTGGCCCTAGAATTGAAATCTCGCTATGGGTAGGGTATAAAAGTGAAGCTGATGCTAGTTTTATTGTTTCTAATAAGTATAATACTTGTAAAGGCCCGATATAATACACAAATACATTCAAAGATTAAGCATTATAAAAAATATTTTGTTTTTAACAGCTCTGCTTTTGCCATCGCGTGCATCTTTGTTTGAACCCACGTTTTTTTATCCCCTAAAAGAACTGTGGCGAGTTCCAGCAGAGGGCGCAAACGTTCATGTTTCTCTTTGGAAAACATTTGTAGTCCTGCAGAAGCATTACATCTGCGTATCGTTAATACTCGATAGAGCCGATCGCGGACATATTCCTGGCCGGCCACCGAATAGACCTTTTTGTATGACTTTACGACTCGACCAGTTACGGTTAGCAACCCGATGCAGCCATCACAATGTAACAGATGCGCGTCTCGCTTGCGTGTTTTCAAATGATATCTTGTTTATTCTGCAGGCTTCGGTTGTCCGTTACGGACCGTCCTAATGATTGTCGGAATATATTTTCGCCTTGTCAGAGACTGCTAGCACTAGAGACGCGTACTTGCGGAAGGGCATGCCATGTGGGGGATTTGCCGTTTTTCATCTTTGGCGTATGAGGTACCGAAGTTCGTGGCAAAGACCTGAAATTTCGAATAAGATTTCTATGCATTACATCACGAGGCTGCCGGGTTAAGCGAGAAGCATTTCCTCCTGAAGTCGATTTGTTCACTGTTGTGAACTAGAAAATGCTAGACAAAGATGGCGCACGCAAGCATTAATTCACCGAAACCGGATTGTATAATATTAACGAATGCTATTTACTATCAGTGGTTATACATTTTAATGTATCGCAGCATAATGTATTGTTCCGTGCAGTATCAGACTATCTTGTATGTAACAGATTACTGCCAAATTCAGATAATGCTTTTTAAATTCGAATTGGCAAAACTCATGGTGCTGATACAAATGCGAACTACAATTAGGTCTCTATGAATCAAATTATCTTTACTTTGAGCTGTGTTAGGACAGACTAGATGCGTGTCAGGCCAACAATTTATACGATCCGTCCGTTAAAAATTGATTCAAAAATCGAGATTCGTCTTAGTGCTATAGGAGATACGATAATAATTCGCAATATTATTTAGGACAGATACCATATTTTGTAATAATCGTTTTCTGCGTAACTTAAACAAACGATCGAAGTTATGATGACTTCCTCTAGACGTATCCTTCCGCCGGTGGCTATTCATTGTGTTTGTATGGGAAGGCTTGGAGCAGGCTACAACGTATTGAAGTCATGAAACGCAAACAGATACAACAAGAAGTTACTGGCAGAGCAAATGACAACGGGTCGCTCGTTAGAACAACAATTAAACGCTTTTTTTTTTTTAATTTTTATCTACATTTATCGTATATGTCTCTATTGTATCTTGCCTTGTAGAACGCTGGTTAGTTCGATAGAGCAGTCATTCCGAAAATTTTGCGATTTATGTCGGCTATTCGTCAAGATAGATAGTCACTAAAGCATAATAAGAATGCCCAATTTCCCACCAGTATCTTTCCAGCCTTAGGTGACGTAATCTATCATTAAGCACTAATGTATAACTAAATTCAAATTTATCCTGTGTGTTCATTATTAATTATTCCGCTGCTATTCGTAACAAGGCACAGTACCTCGAAATGCGTACAATATGCCGTTCGTACGTATAAGCCTCGTTTTTTGACGATGCTGTATTGAAAAAACGTATGAGAACGAAGCCGAAAAAGGAACTTACAGAACGAGACATTTAGATCTCTTAAATTTTAGCAAAACCTTCTCACGCTTCTTAACTTAATTTCATCATTCAAGTTATATAAAGGTTCGTTGTGGAACCTTCATTTCAGCTGCACACGGTAGTCCCTAGCGTTCATAGTCAGAACACAATGTTAATTCATACCAAAATATTTGCCCTCTGTGTTCGTTTGAGACTTTCGGTTCGATATTGAATTTTCAGCTTACTTTTCAGCTATTATACATATCGCAAAGATTGGTTTGTCACAAAAGATCGGGCGGATTGCCGTATTACAGTATGTTCGAAAAGTCGAAAAGCAGAAAGCAAATTTAGTAATCGACAGTTATCCCTTACCTATGGAAAGGCAGCTGACCACGATCATCGCTCGTAGCACGGAAAGTATTGAGGCCCGCTTTCGTTTCTACAAGCAGATAACAGTAAATCTAAATTGCATCGACAACTATAAACTATGAGCTGCACGTTTCCCTAGAGCAATTCAAAGTTCGGCCTTAAGCATAGACACAAGTTACGCTTTGGTCCTGAACGCTTTAATGCCCTGCGCTATCTTGGGTATTTTCGTATTAAAATTAATATAGATAGCTTCAAATGTCACGCTGCTCTTACAATTTAAGTGACCTTCGATTTTTTTAAATTTATTACACTTTTTTTTTTATTGTGGCTATATAAGGAGACTCTAGCAGAATTTGTCATCATTTGAAAAATATATCGTTAAACCCTTGCTTATACGCGCAGTGTGTATTAGATTTCTATTGCCTGTACATGTGATTTACTTGCGCAACCTAAATTTCTCCTTTTAAACTCGTACACGACGAGCCCTAGCCGTTGATTTTTTGAATTCAGCTTTCCTCTACGTGCGCTGTGGCCTGTTCATAGAAGTTCTTAAGGGGATTACAAACCTCTAATTAACTCGTAGAGTCGGGAGATGTTCCAACCGTTGAAAATGAGAGTATAAAAAGATTCCATATTCATACAGGATACCGGAGAAGGCTTCTTACATAGCTTTCAAAAGCTGATCGTACCTTTTATGTGTTCCACTTCTAACCGGTATTTGCCAATGTTATTTCAGACAATAAACATCAATTTCGCAAACAAATAAAGGAGATACCCTGAATGTTTAAGCTAAATGCTGAAGCATTCCTAAATTTATTGCTAGAAATAACAACCACTAGCTGTTTTCTTTACTCTGTGCTTTTTATTTGTCAAGAGATTCCGTCTGTAATCAGGATTGGATCAGTTCAATTTTAACTCATAAACACAGCCCTAACCGAACGCTGTTTGTCTACTCATTCTTCCACCAGTTTATGTTATGAGAGATCGGGGAGTTTGTGATGGCGTAGGATTCCGTTCTATTTCCAGTCTAAGAAGCTTCACTTTTTGACGACAAGATACGTTCCCTAACCGCAATAGCCAGAGGCAGTCCATGTAGCAATAGGGGCAGCTGCGGCAACGGTCTTGACAACCGGGCCAGTTACAGTGGCAATTGGAGCGGCATAGGTGTAGGCAGGAGCGGCAACAGTCTTGTGGACGGTGGTCAATGCAGGGGCCGCGTACGCATGAT